GTTTGTTGTTTCCAGTCGTAGTTAACCTTAAAATTATAAGCTATCAACCCGTTTTGTGTTGAAAGTCCGAGATATATCTGAAAACTTCTCAGAAAAAACGTGGGATCGTCTGAGAATTGCAATTCTAAATTTTCTAAAAATTATGAGCTCTTTTCAAACCTTGCATATATCGACGGTGTAGGTCCGCAATTACATGTTTCATTTGCGGTGTCTGAAAATCTCCGCCTCTATGTTATTTTTTAAAGGAAAACAAATTGACATCATTCCTTGAACTTTTTGCAGAATTTTCTTCGCACAGAGAAGAAAAATCACAGCAGTTTTAAAGAATTGCCCTTGAGTAGTTTTCAGTTTAAAAAATTAAGTATGACAGGAAGTTTGCGACGTCCCAAACCGAGTTATATGATTGCCGATATACGCTTCTATTGAACATTTTCACAACATTCCAATGAAACCTATGAAAAACGTGAACACAGGCAGATTTACGACGCAACGAAGTTGCTCATGATCTTCAGTCAGAGCGTCTTTTGCGATGAATCGATTGATCTGCCTTTTAAACGTATGGACAGGCATCAAATCAGGGCGCTCGCAACGAACGCCTGAATAATCGACCCTTTATCATAGTTTTAAATGCGTCAGTATCGATATTCGATGATCCGCGCTTCACCACCGAGTCAAAGGGGTCAGGACGGAAAAGCGTTACGGTGTCCAATCATCCCTCTCGCACAAACTTCCTCGTTTCTCGCGGACGCGAGAAAATCGAATCAACGCCCGGCCGCGATTGGCCAGAATTGCTTAATCGTTCGAGAATCATTTCCCTCGCTCACTGCCAAGCATCGCGAAACCTCACCGCTGAACATGGACGATGCACAACCCTTTCTCAGTGAGTTGACAGCAGCGGACGCGTGTGACGTCACGAGTCGGCCGCCGGGCATGACCGGAAATGGACGGTCCTGCAGCGCGTTTCCGGTCATCACGCCCGTGCACCAGCTCCACGCTGCCAGACTGTCGAGGATTTTCACGCTTTTGCTAGGTTGTTCCGCCGTATTAAGGGAAAGAAAACGCCGTATGAACATTCGAATATTGCCTAATTTCCTCTCAGAAATTATCTATTTTGGAAGGAAGTCATGAATATTTTTCCTTGAAATTTTCGGACTTTTTAGATAAAATTTAGAACAAAATCCTCCGAGAAATCAGAGGAGAAATATTCACAAATTTTCCGGAAAATTCGTCGTTTTTCCGCGGCAATTTGGCAACGTCTGATGGCTCATACGGCGTTTTGTCTTAGAATGGCAGTATTGGGGTGAGTTTTCATGCAGCGAGGCAATCGTGCATAAGTGCATTATCCGTGAGTATTGCACTGTTCCTGAATGCCTCGACCGAATAGGACAGGCGATCACTAATATCGGCAGTGAAACTTTAATAACGGGAATCTCGTTTTTGATGTTTCAAAGTCTTCGCTCCTGCTTTGTTTTGTGGAAGGAAACCTAATCAACGGCATAGCACGTAATTTTCACAGAATGTTCCTCACACGGAGAGAAATAATTACGGAAGTTTTCAAGACATGGCGTCAAATAGTTTTATTTTCATAAAATGGAGCGCGACAGGAGGTTTTCAACGTCGCAAACTGAGATACGCGTTTCCGTAGTTTCGCCATCGGGAAATGATCGTCCATTAAATAAGGGTCCTCAGTTCACAAAATTTCAAAATGTATTATATATATATATCATTGGGTACGATTGATTTGTACCCTTTTCCATGAAAATTAAATGAGATAATACATAAGGAAGTAAGGCGTGTAACTCCCATAAAAATAGGCGAGCCATTGCCGCATGAATCGGCTCCACTTTATTTGTATATTTATGAATAATTTACTTATTTCTTCTTTTCAATTTGATTATTATTGTGTACTTGAACCGCCCTTCTTCGTGCATCTACGACGTATGAATGCAATGACTGACAGGAGCTCCAGCTTTTTCTATGGCTGGGTCTGGATGCAACTATTCGTGTTCTCAGGATGTCCGTGTTGCATACACGAAAAATTGCAGGCGCTTTGGTTTTCATAAGCACAACGTATGGACGTGCTGCGGTTGTTAGTTCTGTAGGGGTTTCTACGCTGCATTTACAATCTTGCTTACCATGAAATTCTCGAAATGCGGATGAGTTTTGTAACACAATGGCAGCGTTGCACAAACATGCAAATTACGGACATTTTATCGGAAGTAATTTGCCGGAGAGGCATCCGCGGTGCCTTTGTCGATTTGTTTTTGCTGGAAAATTTGCACTATTTGGCAACGGTGCCATGATGCAACAAGATAGGTACATTTGAAATTCGATGAACTCATGGTAAACGCGATTGTAAATGCAATGTAGAAAACTCTGGAGAACTAATAAAAACCGCAGCCATCTACCACATGTTGTTCTCAAGAAAACTAGAGCGCCTGCAATTTTTTAGTATGCAATCCGGACATCCCGAGAACACGAACAGTTGCATCCGGACCTAGCGATTGAAACAGCCAGAACGCCTACTGTAATCTCCACTTGTGCTAATTAAATGTGTCACCTATTCCTTGACTTTTCCCTGGCTCTTTAGTATGTTCTGACAAATCTGAAATTATAACGAACACTCGTTAAAGTTTCTATTGTCTCTTTTGCTAATTTGTGTGTCTCAATTTTGTTTTGCACGACGCAGTTAAAAGTTTCCGTATTTATGGTTTCTTTGAGTCTCTAATCAAATTTCAATTTTTACCTAACCTAACCCAACTTATTTTGAACATTTCTAACAGATAAATTTCGCTTAATTTTTTCTGACCCCACGCGAAAATCAGAAAACTTTTTGTCAAAAATTGCTCAGGTACATTCTTGTAAAAAATGTAATTGCTTGAGCCAATTTTGCAACCATTTGCTGACTTTTGGTTTCTTTTTTTTATTTCTTTGTCTCGTTTTTCATCGCGTGATTCTTATACACTATGAAAAAACACGAATTCATTATTAACTTGAATTTTTACTTTTTTGTTTCAGGTCACCCATGGACTCGATGACGCAGGCAGCAAACGGTTTCCCCTCCGTTCTAACCGCTCTTCGTTTCGATTTTCGAAAATCCTGACACTCCAGCGCCAAGTCCACCTCAAAGTCGGGCTGCCGGAAACTTCGAAACCTCACGTGGTACGATTCAGATCCTGGAGTCCCAAACGAGTCCCCCACAGACTTTCTTCATCGATTTTATTACGTTACATACGCAGAGCTAGTCTTCCTCGATTTAGCAGTTTTTCGTGCCATATTCGAAATTTTTTGTGCCGTCGTCCTTGTGTCATTGATATCCTCTCGAAAACAGTGAGACTTAAGCCCAAGACGTTAGATCCCTCCTATGTGTTTCGAATTTTAACTTTGCTTCCACCCACACTCATGGTAATTAAGTGTACTTAGACAGATGATATCCGATATTTAAAATTCAACATTTTGATGCCATTTGGTCCTTCAGGCGTTGGCCTATTGATTTTATCGTAGATGACAATTTTTCTTTTCTTGAGCACTCTTTTAGACAACGGAAGTGTCTTGGTGAACTTCTTCTTCTTTGATTCCTAAATTTGCCTCCTAAGATTGATTGTCTCACCGCTCTCTCTCTTAGGTTAGTCCCTAACGCTTCTCGCAAGGAATTCTACTTAGACTAAATGAAAGCTTAATAGCTTTCTGTCCTAATTGTAGTAGACTTAGATGCGTGCTAATTTTCAAGGCCTTAACTAAAACTTTAAGTCTGTTTAGAATATTGTTTGCACTTTTTACTTAACGCAAATGGTTTGCTTATAAAGCCACTAACTGATTAGCTTAAGTAGGCAATTTCTATTAATTTTGATCGTTAAGCTTTAAGTTGAAATTTTGATTGATATTGATCGTTGAGCTTTAAGTTTATAGAAAGTTATTCCTTAACCCCGTTGGTATCATCTCGTCCACTACCGACTCTTGATCGTAGCTTACGTTCTCTTCCTTATTTTGGCCTTTCGTGTTAAAAAATCGTTATTTTAGTTAACTTCTGTGATTTTTACTTCTTTCTTCAAGGCTGATTTCGGTGTTAGTATTTATAGGTGTATGAAAAAGGATTAAACTTATCAAACACCCCCTAAACTCTCATCTATCTTAGTGACTTAAACTCGTGATCGATAAATAGTCGAGTAGTTCAATTTAATAGTTTTCATTTCAGCATTCTCTGAAGAATCTTTGTTGCTTTTAATCCCACCCCTTAGGAAATGACTTTCCGTGAAAATGATCCTTATCATAGCAATTTCTTATACTTTTTTCCAGCGTTCTCATTTCTTGCTTATTCTAGCATTCTGATTTGAGTTTGTAACTATTGTACTCGAAAATTTAAGCTTCAAGACTGTTTCGTAACTGAAGTTGCGAGAAATTTACTTTTCGCCATCACTGTAACTTTAATTTTTAAACCCCCTGAAATTTTTCTAATCTAGTGCGTAGATTAGCTGTTTTGTTTATCAAGTTTTCGTCCTGGTCTTTTTAGCTAGAAATGGTCGTATAATTCTACAACTTTTCATCATCGATTGACCAGCTTCAACTGTGTATCTTTCGTGGATAAGTGTGTCGATTATACTCTGATATGTCAGTCAGTCTGTTGCCATAGGTTCTTAAATCTAAAAATCAACTTGCATAGCTTTAGTAGGAATTCAGAGAGGCCTTTTGAAATATTTGGCCGAGGGGAGTTTTTTTTCTGTTGACCCCTCGATATTGTCCTATCTACATTTCATAGACATCGTTAATGTTCTTCCAATTTGATTGTGTTAGAGATTGTGGAATTTTGCGATCACTCTCCCCCATCTATGAAATTTCATTCACAACCAGAGGTTTTAGAATCAATATTTCCTCAGTATCAAGCTATATAAATCTATACAATTAGTAAAATTAATGATTTTTCGTGCTCCTATTTGAATATTTTGGAGGTAGTGGAATTTAATATTCGTTGACTTCCACCCGTAAAATTTCCTTCGTGGCCAGAATATCTGGAATCGGGTTTACTCGTTAATCCTGAGCGTGGAATAAAAAACCGTTTTCAGGGTTTCTGAAAAAAAAAAAAAAAAAAAAAAAAAAAAAAAAAAAAAAAAAAAAAAAACTTATTATCTCATGTACAAAATTTTCATACAACGAGTTTCCTGCTAGAAGGTAAAAGCTAGGTTCCCTTCGCAACCGCAGCATTCAGAAATCAATTTTCTTGTTCGAATGAGAAACCGTCCTCAAGGTTTCTGAAAAAAAAAAAACTTAGAATCTCATAGAACGTTTTCGTACAACGTTTTCATACAACGAGTTTCCTAGTAAAAGGTGAAAGCTAGGTTCCTTCGTAGCCGTATCATTTAGAAATCAATTTCCTCGTCATTTAGCAGAGCAAGATTTGGAAATTCATACAATGCCCCTTCAAAAGTCAATGATTAGGCAATGGAGTGCTGGACGTATCGCGTGTGGTATCGAGTCCCTGTAACGGCGCCATGGACGATGAGGGCGACCGGCTCTCTGTGGTCTCCTCGCAGGAGCGGGACCCGCTCTCCCGGTTGTCGGACTGCCTCCCCAACTCCCCGGGCTCCTCGTGGGGCTCGGGCTCCATCCCCGGGAGCCCCCGTCTCCGCCGCTCCCGCCCTGGCAGCCCCGCGGCCCTCCCCTCCGTCGAGGATTGCTACCGCTGCGTCGAGCTCCAGCTGGAATACTCCCGCTTCAAGCACCATGCCACCAGGGTCAAATCCGTCCTCCACTCAAAGGTAAGCATCGTCTTCAGCATTTCTAATGCTAATATATACATATGAAGCCGCTTTTATATATAGCGCTCTCTGGCGCTCTGCGACACCTACCCGCCAAAGTCCCCATTCCTCCCAAAGCCTTTCAGGGAGTTGGCAATTCGCACACCCTCATTTCTTCTAAAAACCCCTGTCGCCACCCTTTCACCGGGCGTCCCCTTCGTCTAATGCTAATATATTTTTGAAATATTTTTTGTTTAAACTTTAGCAGGGTGTGTACTATAAACCTTCAGACGTTGCCATTTTTTCTTCCATTAAAGACAAATTTCCCGGGAAACCTGAGAAAAATGTTTCTCCAATTTTTCACAGACTTTCATTTGAACCACGTAAAGCAAAAAGGAACTAAGCCACATTAGTTAATGCCTTTATCTGAGAAATGTAATGTTTTACAACATGAGAACGTTTTTGTGAATTGTTTTGGAAAATTTTAAAGAATTTGCTTCTTATTATGCTGAAAAATCACTGAAATTTGCACTAAAATTTGCACAACCGTTTTCATACAAAAAATTGAATTGCTCAGTTAAATTTGGCAATAGCTGATGCGGCTTGGTTCCTTTCTGCTCAACGCGGTCCATTTGTAATTAGATCTAAATTATCTAAAAATTTCAAAGGGAATTACACATATCTCTCCTCAAAAATTCATACTACATCGCTGGAATCGTGGCAACATTTGCACGCTATCACGGCGTTTTTCCTTGGCACAGCAACACAATTAGGCCGTTTGTCCCTAAAACACCCTGTGTAATGTCGAACACAAAGCGATGTGCCCATTGCAAAATTAGGATCAAGACAAAAGAAGGAAGCTCCGGTGCGCAGAGATGAAAGTCCCGAATTTATGCGTGGGAAGCTCCTGCGGGTAAACACTTGTGCCAACTCAAGAGTGGATGTGTGCTCCTTGTTGCTACCGTGTGCGTTTGAACGTTGCTGTACGCCCGAGGCTGGATCCCTGGTCTACCGACCCTGACCTTTCGTTTCTTTTGCGTGTTGTCTTCAGTATTTTCATCTCAAAACTGAGAGAAATTCAAGGATGAAACTGCAAAAAAACGCGTATCACGGTTTGCGATGCTACATATCTTCTAATGTAAATATTCAACATTATTTCTTGTAAACTTCCTTGATGTTTTTTCTCTCTGTATAAAATATATTCTGGCAAAAATTCAAGCAAGTGTGTCGGTTCTTTCTCTTGTAGTGAAATACATTGGCCGCGTGGATTTTAAAACGCTACGAAGGAAGTACACGTTTTTTCAGTTTCACTATCGATAAGAGCCGACAACGGGGAACAGACGCAAAAATCACCCACGTCCGGACTATGCTCCTCAGTCGCTTATGTGTTTTAGGTTAAGAAATAATCGAATGATCCATTTATCCATTGCAATCCCCGCTTGATCACAGTTTAGCAATACAAGCCTACCTGAAAAATGCCAATTGGAAAACGGTCTTTACATCCAAGACCACCAAAAAGCTTTTTAAAGTTTAATCTATGTTCAACCCTTGGAAACCTTTTTTTAAAGCTTGAGCCCAACATTCGTCCTACGGGAGCTTGGCGGAACGTTACAACTTCAGGCAAAAGAAAGCTGCGAGAGAAAAACTGCGTACGTATTAAACAGCTTAAGGGAGCTCAACTTCTGGATCGCGTTGTATTTACTTCCGGACGGCCCAAATATTAAATTTTTATCCGGTCACTTGTTCGGAGCCTCCACCAATATTGATTTATCGCCAGGAAGGCCTACCGGCTCGTCCCTTCTCATCCCCAGCAGGGCGGCTTTTCTGCCGTGCCAAGGAAAAACGCCGTATGAGCCTTCGAGCGTTGCCAAATTTCCTCCGATAAAATACCTTTTTTAGAAAAATCAAAAATACATTCCCTTCGAATTTTCAGAAAATTGTTGATCAAATCGCAAATAAAACGATTCGGAAATTGGACTGAAAATATCAACAAGTTTTAAACGAAATCTGAATCTGTGAGAATGATAACTCACCAACTTGAAAGTGCCCAATTTTCATGGAAGTCCTCGAAGATGGCGCATTTTGTCGCCTACCTAACATAAGGGCGTAACTACATTCTGCAATGAACCCTGTCTTCCGTGCATTTCAATGCTTTTCCGGGCTCATCTCAATGTGTAATTACGCCCTTATGTCAGCCAAACGACGATTTATGTCAACTAGGGCCTTTTATGTGTCCCAAATAACTTGTCCTTTGGCACCGAAAAGCTGTTTCCGAGACCAATTTCTTCATCCACCGTGCAGTGTTTTGCGTCTCGGACATTTTCATTCCTCCGAGTTGGTGTGGTTTCATCCTCGCTGATCAATTTGGCAACATCCCAAGGCTCATACAGCGTTCTTCCTTAGGACGACGGATTAGGCCGGCCTCTGAAAGTTAGGTAAATATGAAACTTTACAGGTGGGGTCAGCAAAAGTTCAAAAGTTATTACACCCCTCAAAAAGGGAATCGGCAGGCCTGCGGAAGGAGGGGGAGGGGGGCGTTAATGAATTTCTTACTCGGAGAAAACGTAATCAAATCTCGTTGGCCGGCTCGATTTATAATTCACGGTCCATATTGGACCAGTGAAGGGATGGGGTGGGGTAAGGATAGAATGGGGGAGGGGGGTTGCGTCAGTTCACAGAGCTTTACATGTCAAACGGCGGAAGGACGACCCTTAATTATATCTGAACAGGGTCATCGTATCAGAACATGGTTGCCGATTCGGAGGGGATGAAGATGAAGGGATGAACTGGACCGAGCTTATCAGAAAGGAACCAACTCACATTTTCGAAAAATTTGAGTTGAGAATGTTTTTGAATTTCACTAGTCGTATATTATCACCTGTCCAAATCTGCGAAAGTCGAAAAAAAAGAAATGGACCCCTAGACAAGGTACGAGTTAAAGGATTCTGGTACATGTTTCTGAGCCAAAATTCCACGTAGAACATGACTCGCGCAACGAAAATTACTGAAGCCAACTCCTAACGAAGATATTAACGTTTTTATTTCACATTGGTTACGAGGAATTTGAACTGCCCGCTCACAAGAAACTCGAAGCTCTACGTGGAACAAATGACGCTATGAGGAATTGTCGCTCCTTTTTGAGTGTCTTTCTAAGATTTTTAACCGTAGTTGACGATCATATCGATGGCTGAAGTGCGACAATGTATCTCCATTGCGGTGTTTCAAAATCTCTATACCTAGTTTATTTTTTCGAAGAGGAACACGCGAAGTTTACATCTTGAAATTTGCGAAGAAATTCTTCTAACAGAGAAGAAAAATCAAGGAATTTGTCAAGAAATTTCGTTGACTAGTTTTGCAAGCAGAGAAAAATAGAAGTACTACTGAAAGACTTCAACTTTACAAACGGAGATACATGGTCTCGCACTTTTGCCGCCGAGACGCGTGTTTTTTCGCTCGTGTGCCTCGTGTTCCACCATGCAACGCAGTTTCAAACGTCAGGCCTCATTTTCTTGTTTTCCGATCTGGTCATTTCAAGGCGCCGAAAATTGCCACATCGGCCCGTCGTAACCCCACGAAACGCCACGCACCAAGTCTCGAGTCGTACGGTTTGGCAACGTCGCCCGGTAGTTTAATTAACACGGGGCGCGGGGCTATAAGTAAACGCATCTTGTCAATTATACGGGTCGGACGGAATGGGGGTGGGGGGTTGACGGACACGGCCTCTACTCTTCAACCCCTAAAGAGAGGCGATCGGACCGGCATGGCAGCGGTTAAAACCCGCGTCCGAAGTCTGACGCCTCACGTTCGCAATTTCCTCCTTCAGATTCCTCGCCGCCGAGCGTGATTTTCCCGAGATCGGGATTGGAATATTGGGATTGAGTATGCCAGAGGGAACATGGCATGGGAATCCTGACCTCCGGGTTCATTTCGTAACTTTAAAATGTAGTCTGATTATCTCAGAGACGTAGAGAGACCCTCCATCGCTGCCGTGCTAAGGAAGAACGCCATATGAGCCGTCAGACGTCGCCATGTTTCCTTCATAAAAACGAATTCACGTAGAAAATTGTTGATATTTTTCTTTAAAAATTTCGGACAATTTTGTTTGGAATTCACTCGGAAATATCTGCAAATTTCAAGGAAAAGTATGCGCAACACAGGAAAAAAAACACATTGGATCGAGAGTCCAGACTCTTAAAAACATCGACAAGAAAAAGTACTCTTGATTCAATCAGATTTCAGCTTAAATCAAGAACCAAGCCTCTTATTTTAAGCGGATTTCGTTTTGATTCAAGCAAAAATCCGATTGAATCAAGAGCATTTTTCCTTGTCAATGTTTTCAAGAGTCTGGACTCAAGATCCAATGTGTTTTTTTTCCAGGGAACTTTTTTCAAAATTACATGTTTTATCCAGCAAAATTTGGCAACTCTCGAGTGTTCATACAGCGTTCTTCCTCAACACGACGGATTAGTATCAGCTGGCAATGCCGCGGCCGCCGTGAGAAGGAAAGACAAGAGGCAGCTTACCTGCACGGATACCGCATGCAACTATTCGAACTCTCAGGAAGTGATCTAGTATAACCGCCCAATTGAAGGCGAAATAGTTTGACGCCGCGCGCCATCGCGCTCGCGCCACGTAGTTTCCAGTGTTTCGTAGCTTGTTTTTTGTTTTTTTTTCTTTCTTTTTTTCTTTTTTTTTGCGGACGGTCACATTCACATTTCGCAGGCAAATATTAATATCAACTCAAGCAGGTATTACTTTTTCCGAAAAATGCAAACATTTCGGCATGTCGCCTATTGGAACACCAATCTTTTTAAATTTTACTCTTCAAATTTTTCCGCTCAATTTTTATTTCCCGGATCGCAAATATTATGCATTTCATAAAGAACCATAATTCTCGGAGGCGCCCAAAACCTGGACTCATTACAGCGATTTAAACGGTTTATTTGACAAGATATCGCGTCAGTGTTGATCTGAGGACAAAAATGGTACATTAAGGAAACTACCTACCTCGCCGAGTAATG